CTCTCTCTCTCTCTCTCTCTCTCTCTCTCTCTCTCTCTCTCTCTCTCTTTGTGTGTGTGTCGCTTGTCGCATGAATGCATACCATTCGTCGATGTGTGCATATGCTAACTCTGTCACTCTTCCATTTACAACGCGCAAGCAATATCACATAATAAACTGTTATTGTTCTGTCGGCTGCTGCTCTCCCTCTCTATTTGCCCTGTGATCGCATCGACTCTATGGTATGGTATGCCACGTATAACACTGTTATTGTGTTGGTGAAACCCACAGAAGTAGTTTTTCGTTTTCAATCAGAAAGCTATCAGAATGAAATTTAATGCTGATATTTGGGTGTTAATAATTTCGATTAGACAACACAAACAGTTCTAATCGTGATTTCAAGGTGTTCGGACGTATGTCATTACATTATAATGTTGCGACTACGATCAAATCATTTTACGTTAATATCTGAATAATACATTTTACATACAACAATATTTTTTTTGTGCTTTCATTCAATAATTTAAGCACCTAATATTTGAAACAGAAATAGTGCATAAACCCGGACAAAATCGAAGATTCGAAGAAGGAAAAAGAAACCATTTCCGCTGTAAATGGTTTTGAAAACGAAATTATTTATAAATTGATGTGTAAATACAGTTGATCTGTTAGTGTGAATCATTGTTGTCACTCAAGTGTGAATTCAAGTTTTTGTGGATTTTTTCAACAAAAGCGATTAATCCAATTTTCAATGATAAGTTCGATCGAAACTTTAGTTTATCTCTAATTCATATGGTAAATTTAAATTCATTTAAAATATTTACAATAAATCTTTCACTTTTTGAAAAATAAAATAAAATCATAGTCACAATTAAAGGTTGAAATCTTTTGATTGCTTAACTTTTCATTGTTTTATTTTTTTTCGTTGGAATAAATTTACGTGTACTGAATTGATTGGTGATAATGAATTTTCAGATGGTCTACAATGAATAACGACAACGCTTGAATTGAGCAAATTGTAAGCAGATTGAGTTTATCGAAAGTTTCAAACAAAAACCATTTCAAATTAGCTATTAGCTAGAGAGAGAGAGAGAAAAAGAAAGAGTGATTCAAATTGGTTGCATTGACAGAGTGAATAATAATCATTTCGTCGCTCTTCCATTTGCAAAGTGATTTCAAGTAGTCAAACAAATGTCACCCGGTTCAAATACGCCACGATCAAGTGAAATGCATTCACCAAAATCCACTGGAAATAATTTAGAAACAAATACAGTCATTGCACAAAATACAAATTCAATGTCACCATCATCGGTGTCGCCGCGTACCATGTCACCATCAAGCGATCGAAATGGTTTTGTCAGCGACAGTATTGGCGGATATCAACAAAATTTTGTGAACACGGTTGGACCGTATCAAACAAATATACCGCCAAAAAAATCATTTTGCATTGATGCATTGCTCTCAAAGAACCATCAAAGCAATGGCGATCATTCACCCGATGCGAATCGTTTTCTTAGCGACGATGACACTGGCAATAAATACAGTGATGATCAACGTGACTACATGTCTAGTCCAGAAGATGGAATCTCAAGGTATGAAACACAACAAATTAATTTTTAATGGAATTTTTTTTTGTTCGAATCGAGTGTATGCATTTCGTTTTAATGCCGACGGGATGTAAAATTTAATAGATACAATCGATTTCAATGGAACGCTTACTTTTACAGGTCTGAATCACCATCATCACAACGATCCAGTCCACCAATTAGTCCGGGTTGCGAAGATCAAATGCTCGATTCACATGAACCATTTAAAAAACCATTACCTCCAATGCGACCACAGGAATTCCCACCATTTTACGGTGGATACCCATACCACTTAATTCAACACGGCAGCTCCGCATTTCATCGACCAATCGATGCATCGGGAAAACCTTTACCGGTATGATATGTCTATCTTATTGAAATTACATTACACTTCCGATAATTTCGAATGAATTAACAGTTGCGTATGCATGTTGCACCTTATGACAAATCAATTTGTCAATTTAAATTTATTTACATTGATACCACAAAGTGTGTGCACCTTAATTCGCGAAATTGTTTTACCGTTACTACCGTATTAAGGAGCTAAGATGTTGTTGTTATTCAACGACTTAATAGTTTAGCTTAATGTTATTTGTAATTATGCTTACGGTTTCGAATGCTTTTTGTTTTTTTTTTTCATTCTTACCTAATTTGGTTAATTTGGTGTTGCAGTTGCATATGAATCCAGGATTTGTGCCACCACATTTGTCATTAGAGTTTCTAGCCAAGGCTGGTATGTTTCATCCTCACTTGCCGAATTTAGCTGGTAAGTTGAAAATCTTCTTTGTTTTTTTTTTTTTGTGATGAAAAATAAACAAAAAAAAATTGTAACTAGTTGTCCTTATAAACCGACTTTGGAGTATCATTTTTGTTATTGAACCGATTTGTTTTTGTGTTTGCTCAAAGGGCTCATGAAAAAGACGAATGTTTTTCAGAAGAAAAAAATGGTTTAATGAATACTCTTTCGTTTGATTTTGCGTCGGTAAATTGACAAATTTCCGTTATTTTCTTTTTTACTCTCATTGTTCGGCCAATTAAATATTTACTCTATTTGCTTAATACCGCCACGGAATTATATGCGGCCAAATATTTGGGGATAATTTATAACGATTCCAATGTAAATATAATCGAAAACGTGCCATTTATACGCGCAATCACTTGTAATGTCATGTACAAAAATCGGATGCTGTCAATGGATGGCAAGCCCATAGTTAAATACAATCGAAACGAAAAGCATCAAAAGTCCAACAAATCAACCATTTTACATCGATTGTGAGTATAATATTGTGTGCGTTCAAACACGCAGCAAGAAGACAACATGCAAGCAAATTGTAACGGCAAAAAGAGGAACGGAGAGAGAAAGAGAGAAACATTTTGGTGAAAACACCATTCTGATACATAATTTATAAATATTCAAATATTCATTATACAAATCAAATTTGCACATCGTTGACTTTTCGATGTACACACATTCAAGGAGAGAGAAAGATAGACCTCACACAGTGTATAAGCGATTTAGCAATGCAGACGATGACGATGCGACATTTGTTGGTATTTGTTCGATCATGGCTCGATGGGGATACTTTCACTGAACGTGACAACTTATCGCCATATCGATTGCGTATAATTTCGTTGATGTTTTTTCTCGTTTTATTTCGTTTTCACTCACTTTGGGCGTTTCAATCAGTTCGATTGAATTACGTAAAGTGGAAATGAAGATGTCGCAACAATGAATGGAATTTATGATGATGATTGCGTTTTATTCGGTTTCGAACGTTTCAAAAATTTGGTCGTTTGATTGCTTTGGGATTTGCTTCTGAGCGACATCCTCATTCAAATTGTAAACAAGCATTTTTATTCGATTTTCAAATTATTGTTTTCTCGGCGAATGTAATTATGACACTTGCCACAGACATTACTTTCATATTTTTCATGGGTATTTCTATCGTTTTTTAACTGGATCTATAATCTATATACTAATTTCCAGGGATTGTTCCTCTGAGGAGGAGAAATGGTGAGGAGAAAAATGAGGAGGAGGAAGAGGAGAGCGAGGGCTATTTTTATCACAAAAATATTTTTTTTAGCTAAAAACATTTTCCTCCTCAGTTGAGGAGGAGGATCCTCCTCCTCAATTTCCTCCTCACCATTCATCCTCCTCAGAGAGTCCCTGCAATCAATGTTACTTCTTTATTTACCACGAAATATGCCAACAGTGACTTTATCAAACGCAATATATATGTATAAGTTTCTTATATTTTTTTTATTCTTTTCCATTTTGATCCATCAATTCAAAACGTCATATTTGTTTGTATTCAGTGAGCATTATTATGTTTACTTTTGATTTTCGGTTTATTTTAATCCAATTGTTCACATTCGTTTACCTGAGCGCGCGTTTGTTTTACGAAAACACGCTCACAAAATATAAGTCATCCGGCCAAAATTCGAATTGCAAACAATCGTCAATTCTTTATTCATTCAGATCAATCAAAATATAACCAGAAAAAAACACACTCGGAGAGATGATAACGAACGAAGGAGAGAAAAAACACCATCAAAATCAATACGAACACGTAAACACACACTAAGCATCAACAGAGAGTGAAGCATTGTTTGCACTACAGACAGTTTTGAAACAAACACTACTCACACGTAGCACAATACGCATCGATATTATTTCTATGTTGCACCTTACGAAAACTTTTGTGCGAATGATTGGCTCACTTTACACCCCTTTCAGTCAATTTCAATAAAAATGATGCGCAACACACACACACATGCACAACAACAAAACACACGCATGCATACTTTGGACGGTTTACGCGCGCAACACAACCAAAATACCAAAAACACACGCCATAAATCGAACACATATATGTATGGTTGACAAAAATATGATCGAATCTTTGTCAAATACTGAATGTCCTGTTTTTTTTTTAAACCAGATTTGGATCACACCACGCATATATTTGTTTGAACTGTGATTTTGATTTTTCGAATATATAAATCGTTTGTATATTTTCGATAGAATTAACATCAGCCGATCGTCGAATGCATTCGCAATTGTTAAATGACAAACAAATGCAAATGTAATTGTTATGCATCCATAGAAGTGAAATGGAGCCCCGGTAAATGGGAAAAAAAGGCACACGCATTGCACGCGGCAACCCAATTACATTGTCAAAAAGACAAACAATCACGATTTGTGCATGAAAATGCCGTTTGCATTCGGATATTCATCCGCATACGTGAATTTGAATACAACTTAATCTAAAGTCAGATTTATATCGAACGTATAAAAAATGCTTTGCCGTCAAATATGAAAATCGGCGGAAAAAAGCCCTTTCCACTGTATTCATTTTTTTACGTCAAATTTACTAGTGACAACAAGTGCATTCATCGTTTGAAAGAATAATTTATTCGCATTTTATTTGATTACACGTGTTTTTTTCGCCGTTAGTTCCGGGACCAAAAAAAGCTCAAATTGAATGATAGAATGGAGGAAAAAAACATAGAAATTAAACGATTCAAAATAATTATATTGCATATGGCATGCGATTTTTATACTTTTGTTTTCTTTTTCAATTATTTATTATTCATTCAAATATACACACGCGCGTGCACAAAAAGCGCATCAAATTCAATAAGTTTTTTCGATTTTCAAAATCCAATTTTGGCTCATGCGACAGAAAAAAAACGCAGAGAATTTATGTCAGGTTATTTCATGATCCGGATACAATTACACAATTCGACAAATATTCGTTTTGTGTTATTTTTTCATCTTCATCAAACACAATGCACATCAAGCCGATGCCTTTTTTTCGATGACAATTTTTTTTTTTCAAACTTATATTGGCAATTTCCCGAATTTCTTGTTGGACTCGTTGTTTTTTTAGTGGCATGGAAAGACTGCTTATAAATTTTATGCATCAATAAAATAATTGAAACGAGTATGGTGTGTTTTTCTGCAGCTTGGACAGATTTATCGGTATTTCAATTAATGCAATGTAGCCAATTTTTAGGCGTCAATCAATTGTTGGTGCGCATTTTATATGGCACAATTAATAAAATCCAAAATTGTCTACGATGTGAGCATAACATTGAAATGGGACCATCAAGTGAAACTTCATAAATTGTTGAGGGCTTTTTGCCTTTTCTCTCTCTATCTCTCACTCTCTCAAGTTCAACGAGTTATATTAACTAGTTGTCGTAATATAATGGCCAAATTGCAATGCTCTTCACCGCGATATAAATATCGTTATTTTAAATGCTGATTGTGTATGTAATTCAATCGATTTGATGATTATTATTGGCCATCATTTTATTTTGGGGTGTAAGACAGCAATAAAGCACTTGAAACTATATGACACGTAAGAAATATTTGGCATTAAATAAAATTGCCAAAAATTGAAATGAAACGATGAAGCTTTTACGATTATGTTTAACATGTTTCAATTGAATCGACTCATTTAACGTCATTATAAGAATTGTATTTTGTCATTTTTCATGATGTTCTAGAAAATAAAATGGAAAATCAAAAACATTGACTCATACACCATCATCATTACCATTTTTTGTTGTCGTCATTTTTCATTTCGCCCATTCAAGCCTGATTGCCGTCATTCACTTTCAATCAAATCGTATGCGTTTATTTCAACATCTCAATGTCAAGTGTCATTGTGTTTGGCAAATGAATAAATTCACAATTTGATGTAAAAGTTTCATTGATTCATTTTTGTGCGTTTGTGTGGGTCACTGTGTGCGTGCGCGCGCGCGTTTTGCCATCACATTACGAGCAGCAACATCAGCAGGGGAAATCATCAAGCCACACATCAAATGACATCAACAAAACATTTTCAATTCAGCAAAGAAAGACAAGCATTTATATGCTGATAAAAGCCAAAGACGAACCCATAAACACATACTTATCATCAATTTAATATGCGAAATAATCTGAACGCATTCGAATATATAAAATCACACAAAGTCTACATGCGTACACATACAACAGTCGGGAAAAATCGGTTAAAATACACTTGTGCCATTTTCAAATGTTTAGCAAATACTTTTACAAATTGCCTTCCCATTACCCGATTTACTTGGAATCTGTTTTGTTGGTTTGTGGGGCGGTATAAATTTCAATTTTTCTCGTTTTTTTTTTCTTGTTGTTTTTCAGTTCGGCTGACTCGTTCTTGTTTCCTCGTCGATGTCGTAAAGAAGGGAGCAATCGAGTCAAATTGTTTTTTGGCTGCCATTGCCTATTTGATTTGGGGATCGGTTTTTTTAGCTCTAGATGCTCCCATCCTTAAGCGAGCTCAGTTTTTAGTATCGAATCACAGCCGATTCTTTATGTGTTATTTACATACAATTTATTCAGATTTTCCACAATTTAAGATAAATTATGTGTCTCATCGCATGGCACGGATACGGTGAGATGAGTAGATAGAGAAAAGTGGAGAGCCAACATATTTGTTTGTTATTCAACGGATGGCAATCAAAGTTTGAATTTCAAAGTCATAAAAACTGACATACATCGAATGAAATATTATCATGCGTATTCGCGCATTTAATTTATCAAAGTATCGATGTTGGATTCCGCTAAGCCAAACACAAAACATTTCACAAATTTCATACATGACAGCAAATCTATTCGAGCATATCGATGCTTGATATAGAACCCATTTACTTAATTGCAAACCAAACAAAATGAAAACGATTCGAATTTGTTAGACAAAAATCGAAAACCGTTTTGTGGTTTGTTTGTGTTTA